CCTTCAGTCAGACCCTCCCTCCCCTTCACTCCAAAGTCCCCGTGTCCTGTCTCTTTCCTTCAAGGGGCTTCCTGACAGCAGACGAGGGCACCAAATCCCGTCCCCAAATCTGCTTCCTTCCAGAGTCCCTTCCCAAGCCCTCCCTCAGGGCCTGGCCCAGCTCGGTGGTGCCTCACAAGAGTAATGTGACACTGCAGTGCCAAACGTCTACCAAGAATGTCAACTTTGTTCTCAGAAAGGGAAAAGTTCCACTGCAGTCCGTGCAATCACAGGCTTCCACAGAGGGCCTGGCTGAATTTCACCTCACTGACCTAAAAACCGACAATGCTGGAGAGTACAGCTGTGAGTACTACAGACTAGGGAGCCCGTACGTAAGTTCGCGGCCCAGTGACGTCCTCCTACTGCTGGTGACAGGTGAGGAGGTGCCTCGGAGGGACATAGGGTCTTGCAGGGACAGGTGTGCGGGAGGAGCCCGAGGGAGGGAGGGAACGAGGGGAGATGGAGAAACACAGAACAGAATGACCTGGCTCAGCTTCATCCAGGGCTTGTTGGGGAAATCTTCCCACAGTCAGAGTGGAAAGAGGGTGAGACCAGGGTTCTGTCATTTTCGCCCACTTGGCGGGAACCCCTGCCAGGAGAACAAGGGAGGGTGGGGGACCCCGGGCTTCTCCCCATGACCGTGGAGCCCTCCTTCTCTTCCAGGAGATTTAACAAAACCTTCCCTCCAAGCCCACCAAAGGGGTGAGGTGACCGCAGGAGACACCGTGACCCTGCAGTGCCAGAGGCCAGACAATATTTTCGTGCCTGTAATGTTCGCTCTACTGAAGGCGGGGGCAGCAGAGCCCATACGGGTCCAGAGTCCTGCAGGGAAGGAGACGGACTTCTCCCTCCGGACTGTGACAGTCAGTGATGCCGGGAACTACAGCTGTGTGTACTTTCTGATGAGGCCTCCCTTCCTGACCTCACAGCCTAGTGATCATCTTGAGATCCGGGTGACAGGTGAAGTTTTGCATGATTCTTAGGACGTTTTAAAAATTTAATTAATTAATTCATGAGTTTGTTTTTATTTTGGCTATTTATTTTCTTTCTCCTGTTTTGTTGACCTATAACCGACTTATAACACTGTATTAGTTTAAGGTGTGAGTCTTTTTTTTTTTTTAAACTGGCGAGCATTTCTTCTGTTACTTTCTGATTCCTGTTTCTCCTTCACTTTCCCGAGCATCTCCTTTTTAATCTCTCCTTTCCTAGTTTCTAGTCTTTGGTGTTTGTTGCTTTGCATTCTTGGAGAATGTCTCAGGCTGTTCTTCCAAACGATCCATCCCGCCACCACCAGAGCCCCTTCTGCCACCCTGGGCGTCACTTAGAGTTGTGGGACATCCTGCTGATGGCAACTTCATGGCGGTACCTTTCTCACTCTTAGAACACGGTGCTCCCCCAGCCGCCCACTTTTCTGGCATAGACGTGGTATCTTCTAAACTGATCTTCTTGCTTCATTGGATGCTACACCCTGCTCCTCGGTGGTGTAAATGTTTGCGTGTGTGTTATGGTTAGCGAACGTTCTGTAGTTGGAAAGCAAGGTCCGGGCGGGGGCTGCTGAGGGATGCAGAGGGCATCCTGGGCTTGGTGGGGTCATCACATGTCTCTCCCCGTGGACTATGTCTCCAGGGAGCATTGTTGCTGATGTCTTCAGACATGAACTCTGCACTCATGGCACGTGTGAGCTGGAAGATTCAAGTACAGGTTCTGTCTAGGAGTCAGGGCCAGTGGTGAGCCCTAACTCTTCTTGGGTGAAGCTGAAATGAAATGCCTGGTGGTTCCGATGCTCAGCTACTAAGCTTGAATTTTCTTGAGCTCACTGGCTGCACTAAGCCTTTGCTCTGAGGAGGGGAGCAGACGGAGCCCTGAACTACTTTCATTCTCCGTGCAGCACCTTTGGGTTTTGGGGTTGCTCCTAAGCCTGATTCCTACTACAAGGAAGGAGAAGGGGGAAAGGGCAGTGTGGGAGGCAGGAAATGAGATGAAGAGCAAAGAAATGAAGGAAGAGCGGTACGGCAGAAAGAATAGAAAGGAGACAAAGGAAGACCCACTACAACTCTCAGGAAATGTCACGTGTGTTTTGAGTGATTACAACGTCAGTGAAGGTACAGCTGACCACTGTCCAGGAAGCACAAGCAGGTGCAGGAGAGTCACGTTGGGCAGATCCGCGTGAGAAGGAGGGATGCTCCTTTCCAGCTGGTGCTCACCCTCTTCTCTCTTTCAGCTCCCCCAGATGCCACGTCGGGGGATTACATCATGGGCAACCTCATCCGACTGGGTCTGGCTGCCATAATTGTGGTGATTATGGGGGCTCTCATGGTGGAAGCCTGGTGCAGCCAGAAGGAGTCTCCACGTGGATCGACATGAAACAGCTGAGCGCCTCTCTTGTTCATGGGCTGGTGTAGTGACACGGGGTTCTCTAAACACCAAACTCTACCATGGGACTTTTTGTGTTTTTCAACATGGGCACAGATGGCTTTTTGGTAGGATATTTCTTCACCATATGGGACTGTCCTGTTCATTGTGGGAACACTTAGCACCGTTCCTCTTTCCCATTAAAGAGCAGTTGAAGCCCCAGTCATTGTGGAAGAAGATAACAAGCAAGTACTACTGTACTTTTTCCAGGACCCCTAGATATGGAGGATGGGAGTGGGGTGGTGTTCCCCTGGCGGAGAGCCCGTGTTTGGAGGCCAGGAGAAATATTCCTTCTCTTCCTCCCTTTCCGATCTCACATCTGTCCTTCTACACATAGGCTCCACAGCTGTCCAGGGGGAATGATGCATCCTTGGTCAAGTAAACAGCTTGTGTGAGATCTGGTTCTCCTCTACCCTGGGACAGAAGGTGCACATGAGGAGATTTGGGAAGCTTGTAGATGAGATGTGATCCCACGCATTTCCTGACATTACCTAAGACCCAAAGTGGCCCCTGCATCTCCTGACAGTATCATCTAGGATAGTGACAGGAGTGACCAGGAACCGTCCCCCATATTGAAGGCTTCTTGGTGCTCAGGATGACATAAATTAAGATAGTTTCATTTGGTTGTAAAATTTTTTGTGTGTCAAAATCAAAATTAATAAGGTATATGGCACCAGCTCACTTTTACTGTTACTAGGATACAGAAAAGTGGAATTTAACCACAAATTCCATACCAATTAAGTGTGATACAGCCTTCCACAGTGTTTTGGTAAAAGTAAAAGCATCATGACATCCTGGTGTTCCATTACCTGAGAAATTTGAGAATAAATATCTTTTACTTAAGTGTGATCTTGGTTTCTGAAATCAAAAGCTAAGAACCCGTGGCCTTGAAAAGGATTTTCTGAACTGTGGGTTTATGTCTGAGCCATTGAAAGGCAACAAAACTGCTCTCATAAATCATCCCTTGCTCTCAGGACCAAGCCTCAAATCATCAACATGCTCCTTTAGGTCGAGAAAGATTTGGGTCCGCTTCCCTTGAGACTTCTGGTACACAAAAATTGAATCAATGCCAAAACCGTTTACAAAAATGGAAGCATATTTTGAAAGCTTATATCTAGCTCACACACAACTCAGTCTAATTTTGCTACTCACAAGTTCATGATAGGTTTTATATGCGTGTATGGATTCTTAGAGCAACAGGGACCTCTAGGTCCAGAAACTGGAAACCAGCAGTGAGATGTTCTCTTTTATTTACGCCTGAAGATGCATCTTCCTGACTGTACTGATAGTCTCCCTTGGAGCCAAACTCAAAACTGAGGCTCCTTTTTTTGTTTGTTTTTTAAGGATTATTTATTTATTTATTTATTTGTCAGAGAGAGGGGGCACAAGCAAGGCAGGGGCAGAGGGAGACGCAGGCTTCCCGCTGAGCAAGGAGCCCAGTGTGGGACTCGATCCCAGGACCCTGGGATCATGACCTGAGCCACAGGCAGATGCTTAAGTGACTGAACCACCCAGGTGTCCCTTGGAGGCCCTTCCTGGAAGTGAGGTCCAAAGACACTGGCGACCACATCCCCATCTAAGCCGTGCTCACCGTTGTCTGACATAAACCACTCACTACAGCCAGACCACACTCCTTCCTACTCCCTGCCACCTCCCCCTCATCTAGAGCATTCCACTTTTTTTTAAATAAAGATTTTATTTATTTATTTATTTGAGAGAGAGAGAAGGAGCAGAGGAAGAGGGAGAAGCAGACTCCCCTGCTGAGTAGGGACCCTGACACTGGGATTATGACCTGGGCCGAAGGCAGATGTTTAACCCACTAAGCGCCGAAGCGCCCAAACATTCGACATTTCAAAGCCTGATTGGAGCCCAGCATCGTCGGGGAAGGTTCCCCCCCCCCCCCCCCCCCCGTCTCTGGCCCTCGTGTGACCTCCAACAGCACTTAGAATTTGTCATTTTTGTTCCTGCCGTTCTTCCTTGCAAGTTCATCTTCCTGCTTAAACTAAAGTGCGCAGGAGCTCACCGACTCTCCCCCAAGTCCAGCTAAGGTGTTCAGCATTCAGCAGGCGCTCAGGAAGTAATACGGACCCGGGTGTGATGCAAGTGAAGCACGGTGCTCTCCAACGCTGTAAAATGGAGTGGTCCCCAGCCCTGCCGATTTCGCAGAGGGGATGACTGACGAGTCGGGCCCGCCCCGGGGACTACAAGTCCCAGCGGCCCGTGCGGGCCTGAGCCTGTTCTTGGGGGCCCCGCAGGTTTGTCCCACTGAGCAGGGCTCCAGCCGGACGACATACTGGGACCTTTCACAGGGCCGAGTCTGGGGGCAGTTCGACACTCCCTGGATGCACAGGGCATTGTTGTTCAGTCCGGGCCGGGGGCGGGACCGGGAGAGGGCCGCTGCGGCCCGCGCGCTCCCGACCCGCGCACCGCCCGCCGCGCGCTCGCGCACGGCGGGGCCGCAGTGGGTGGGGGCTCGGCCCGAGGCAGCTCCGCCGGCCGCCCCCCGCGTGCGCGCCGCGTGCGCCTTCGGGAAGCTTCGGTGCCCGCCGTCGGCGCCCCGGCGCCCTGCGGGTCTGTGCTGGCAGAGGCCCGAGAGCCGCGTCCCGGGCGGCGGGAGAGCAGCCTGTCGCGTCTGGCGAGGAGGAGCGGTGTCCCCAACAGGTGAGTATCGGCCCCGCGCTCCCGCGTCGCCAGGGGAGAGGGCGTTGCGGAGCGCTCCCCGCGCCGGGGGTGCGCCGGGTAGACGCGGGCTCGAGGGCCGGGGCGCCCCGGGGAGCCGCCTGCGCTGGCCCCCCGCCTCCGCCTCGCAGAGGAAGCGGGGGCTCCGGGATTTCAGGCGCTTTGGGTGTGGCATCTCAGTGAGCGCCCTGAATATGCAAGGGGGTCTTCTCCAGAGCTTTCCCTTAGTGTAACCCATTTAATACTCCGAAGTCTTCAAGGAGGGCGTGCCATTTTGTATTCTTCTTGAGTAAATTTGACGTGTAAGATTAGGGTGTACAGCTGTGATTTTGATACATTTCTATGTCGCAGCATGATTGTTGTAGCGACATTTATCCCATTGTGTAATTACAGCGGAATATTACTGTCTGTATTCATTATGCGGTCCATTAGGTCTCTGTGGTTTATTTACTACTCGTTACAGTTTTGTACCCTGAAAAACGTTAGTCTAATCCCTGCATCTCCTGCTAATCACCATTTACTCTCTGTTGTTTTATAGGTTTGACTTCTTTAGATTCCCCGTATAAGTGATAGCATGCGGTACCTGTCTTTCTGGCTGGCTTACCTCCCTTAGCATAATGTCCTCAGGGTCCACCCACGTTGTTGTAAATGGCAGGATATCCTCCTTTGACGTTACATTGTGTATATGTATTACTTTTTATTTTATTTTATTTTTTAAAAGATTGTATTTATTTATTTGAGAGAGAGAGAATGAGAGATAGCACGAGAGGGAAGAGGGTCAGAGGGAGAAGCAGACTCCCCGCCGAGCAGGGAGCCTGATGTGAGACTGGAGCCCGATGTGGGACTCCATCCCGAGACTCCAGGATCATAACCTGAGCGGAAGGCAGTCACTTAACCAACTGAGCCACCCAGGCGCCCTGTCTTACTTTTTTTTTTTTTTTTAAGAGTTTATTTTCAAGCAATCTCTACACCCAACATGGAACTCGAACCCACAACCCCGAGCTCAAGAGTCACATGCTGCAGGGACTGAGGCAGCAAGATACCCCTGTACTACATCTTTTTATCCGTTCACCAGCTGATGGGCATTTGGGTTGTTTCCATATCTTGGCTCACGTGAATAATGCTTTGATAAGCATGGGTGTGCAGAGATCTCGTTGAAATCCTGTTTTCATTTCATTTGGGTATATATTCCCAGAAGTGGAATTGTTGGATCATTTCATAGTTCTATTTTAAATTTTTTGAGGAATCTCCATAGTGTTTTCCATAGTGGTTAGACCAATTTACCTTCCCACAACAGTGAACAAGGGTTTGGTTTTGGTTTTTGTTTTTCACCACATCCTCACCAGCATTGTTATCTCTTATCTTTTTGATGATAGTCATTTTGACAGGATGAGGTGCCATATCATTGTGATTTCGATTTGCATTTCCCTGATGATGGGTGATGTGGAGGTTTTTTCATGTGTCTGTTGACCATCTGGATGTCTTCTTTGGAAAAATGTCTATTTACTTCTGACCATGTTTTAATCTGATTGTTTTTGTTGTTACTAAGTTGTGTGAGTTCTTTATGTGTCTTGGAGATTACTCCCTTGTCTGGTATCCCCGTCTGTTTCTGTCTACTTTTGTAAGTTGGTTGTTTTCCATTGTGATTTGCTCAGTCTGCACATTTTTTCATGTTGTATGTCTTTGCTGTAGATTTTTGCTTTATGGTTACTGTGAGGTTTACATCGAACATCTCATAGATAACATAGTCCCCTTTCTGCTCTAGCAGTTTATCTTCATTTGCCTGCCAAAGTTTCATCCTTTTACTCCTCCCCTTGTGTATTTTTGATACCACAAATTATTTCTTTTTATACCGTGATTTCATCACCAAATTGGTGATTTTTAATGCTCTTTTCTCTTTAACCTTTATGCTATATCTAAGTGTTCAATATACTGTTCTAAAACTGTTACCTTTTTTCTAATGGTGGCTATCACCTTAATCAGAATTTTGTGTATTTTTGTCCTTCTGTTTCAGTTTGAAGAACCCCCTTCAACATTTCTTGAGAGGCGAGGGTAATGGTGGCGAGCTCCCTGAGCTTTTGTTTGTCCGAGAAAGTCTTTACTCTCCTTCGTATCTGAAGAGTTCTCTTGGCGCTGGCAATTTTTGTCTTTCAATATTTGTCATTCCAGTCTCTCCTAACCTGTAGAATTTCTGTGAGAAATCTGCTTATAGCCTCGAGGAGGTTCCTTTATAGGTTACTGCCTTTTCCCCCTGGCTGCCTTTACAATTCTTTATCGCTGTCTTTTGACAGCATTGTTGTAATGTGTCTTAGAGAAGGTCTTTTGCCTTGAGATAATAAGGTGTTCTGTTATTAATCCCCCCTGAGCACAAGCAGGGGGATTGGCAGGCGGAGGGAGAAGCAGGCTCCCCACCGAGCAAGGAGCCCAAAGTGGGACTCGATCCCAGGACCTTGGAATCATGACCTGAGCCGAAGGTGGACTCTTAACCAACTGAGCCACCCAGGCGTCCCTGCTTTGTGGACTTTTATGTCTAGTTTCTACCCCAGGGTTGGGGAATTCTTAGCTTTTGTTTCTTTAAATACAGTCTCCCCTTCCCCCTCCCTCTCTTCTTCTGGTGTACCCTTGAATCTTGTGCTTTTTCCTCTAATGGAGCCTGATGGTTCTTGTAGGGTTTGTTTTGTTTTGTTTTGTTTTTAAGATTTTATTTTTTTAAGTAATCTCTAAACCTAGCGTGGGACTCAAACCCACAATCCTGAGATCAAGAGCCACATGATCCACTGACTGAGCCGGCCAGGCACCCCTCCTGTAGGGTTTATTTGCTTTAGAAATCTTAGTTTTGGGGGCACCTGGGTGGCTCAGATGGTTAAGCATCTGCCTTCAGCTCAGGTCATGATCCCAGGGGTCCTGGGATGGAGCCCCGCATCTGGCTCCCTGCTCAGCAGGGAGCCTGCTTCTCCCTCTCCCTGCGTCCCTCTGCTTGCTACTCCCCCTGCTTGTGTGCATGCGCGCGCGCTCTCTCTCTGTCAAATAAATAAATCTTAAAAAAAAAAAAATCTTCTCTCTCATCTTCCACCTGAATCATTTCTAGATCCCTATATTCAGGCTCACCTATTCTCTCTTCCAGCTGATCTGCTCTATTTCTAGTGCTTTCTAATGTATTCTCCATCTCATTTATTGAGTTCTTCAGCTCCAGAATTTCCATTTGGCTCTTATTTAGAATTTTAATCTCTTTGGTAAGATACTCCTTCTGTTCATTAATTTTATTCCTGAGTTCGTTGTATTGCCTCTCTGAGTTTTCTTGTAGCTCACTGAATTTCCTCATAGCTCTTTTGAATACATTTTTTAAAAGATTTTATTTTATTTTTTTAAAGATTTTATTTATTTATTTGAGAGAGAGAGAGAATGAGAGATAGAGAGCACGAGAGGGAAGAGGGTCAGAGGGAGAAGCAGACTCCCCGCTGAGCAGGGAGCCCGATGTGGGACTCGATCCCGGGACTCCAGGATCATGACCCGAGCCGAAGGCAGTCGCCCAACCAACTGAGCCACCCAGGCGCCCCTAAAAGATTTTATTTTTAAGTTAGGCTTCACACTGCACATGTGGCTCGAAATCACAACCCCGAGATCGAGTTGCATGCTCCACCCACTGAGCCAGCCATGTGCCCCAGCCTTCTTTTTTTTCCTTTTTTTTTTTTTTAAGAGAGGAGGAGAGCAGAGCTGGAGGGGTGGGGAGGAAAGGGGCAGAGGGAGAAGATGGGAGAATCTTAACCAGGCTCCACGCCCAGCTCAGAGCCAGATGCGGGGCTCGATCTCAGGACTCTGAGATCATAACCTGAGCTGAAATCAAGAGTTGGACGCTTAATCGACTGTGCCCCCCAGGCGCCCCACCTCACCTCTTTTGAATTCTTTAGCAGATAACAATATTGTGTCTTTGGGTTTGGTTGGTTACTGGAAAATTTCATTTGCTTTTTGTAATGCTGTGCTGCCGTGATTCTTCACAGTGTTTGATGAGAAGTATCCCTGCCCCTGCACTTGAAGTAGTGAGCGCATTCTTACTTGGGTAAGGTTTTGTTCACTTTGATTCTGATCTAATGGTTCAACGGGTAGGTCACTAGGAGCCTTTCTTCTGTGTTCCAGAAGGTGGCACTAGGGCACAAGTCTTGGTTTCTCTTTGCCAGAGCTGCCTCCCAGCTAAGCTTGGGAGCATGTGAAGAAGCAGGTTGAGGAAAAGGTGGGGTGGCTCCGAGTGGGGGGAGGTGCGTGCTTAGTACTGCTGCTGCAGGTGTGTCCTTGCTGTGGGGACTCCTCGAAGGAGTGATCCCGGAGCTCCTTCTGGGCAGACAGTGGGAGAGTGTTCCTTCAGTTCTATCTGTTCAGTCTTGGAGGTCTCGCCTCTGAAATGGGGGTGTCGCTGAGGAGCGGGGGCCCCTCCAGCTGCAGCCGGGCTGCAGATTTTCACTCCTCACTTCATTGCCCCCCCTCTTCCACGCAGCCACCTGCAGGTCCCAGCCACCCACCTTCCATGCACACAAGGATGGATCTCTGGTGTCCTAGTGAGCAGTGCAGAGGTGCTTTTGTTCAGTTACAGATGTGGATTTGTTGTGCTCAGAAGGGAGAGAGAAAAGGACTGACTCCTGTCACCAGGATGCTAACATCCCTCTGGTTGTAAAATCTCGAGTGAGTTTAGGGGCGCCTGGGTGGCTCAGTCGTTAAGCGTCTGCCTTCAGTTCAGGTCATGATCCCAGGGTCCTGGGATCGAGCCCCGCGTCGGGCTCCCTGCTCGGTGGGAAGCCTGCTTCTCCCTCTCCCATTCCCCCTTGCTTGTGTTCCCTCTCCCGCTGTGTCTCTCTCTGTCAAATAAATAAAATCTTCAAAAAAAAAAAAAATCTCGAGCGAGTTTATAGAAGTGTATGTCCTTTGTGCCACAGGAGACACGATGTCACTCGCCCATAAAGCCGGGACCGGTGCTGTTACCTCGGCATCTCTCTTTGTCCCCAGGTCCTGGCACACAGTAGGGCCTCAACAAACACACGATGGCTGACTGACAAGATGCCCAGTATAAGCACGATTTTTTTCAAGGGTGTGAAAAGTTGCAAAGTCACCATAACTAACCAGTGAACGCCACTTCCAACCCAGTGAGCGCCACTTCCAACACCACCCCGTGGTCACCCACACCCACTTGAGGGGAGAAGGGCTGGCTCGGAGATGGAGAAAACCCTTTCCTTGCAGAGAAATACATGTGACAGTCTTAGCCCTGGCAATGAAAGGTTTTTGAACTGATCTTTTCCATCATCTCTTTTCATTCCCTGATACTCCAAGCAGGACAAGGCTCACTGCTTAGTGCCCTAAAACAAACCTCAAAATCCAAGTGGCTGTTCCAGAAAGGGGAAGACATGCATTCCTCCCCTGTCCCACATGCAGATGCATTTGTAGGTGTCTTCGTCAGCTCAGCCCGCTCTAACAGAAGACCGTAGACCAGGTGGCTACACCAGCAAATGCTTATTCCCACAGTTCTGGAGGCTAGAAGTCAGAGACCAGGGTGCTACCATGTTTGGATTCTTAGCAAGTGCATTCTTGACGGTTTACAGACCGCTGCCTTTTCCCCTGTACCCTCACATGGTGAAGAGAGATCATCTTTCTTGTGTCTCTTATAAGAAGAGACTAATCCCATTCATGAAGACCGCATCCTTATGCCATAATTCTCTCTCAAAGGCCCCACCTCCCAACACCATCACACTGGGGCTTAAGGTTTCTACATGCGAACTTTCGGGAACACGTATATTCCAGTAGAAGTAGGATGCTCCAACTCAAGTGCTCTTACTCTTGGCTACTCTTTGGCTCCCCTGCATGCATGTGCTTCCTTTCTCTCTCAAATAAAAATAAAATGTTTAGGAAAAAAGGGATTAAGACCTAAATGTAAAATCTAAAGCTATAGTAGTTACATAAGAAAACATAGGAGAGGAGGAGGAGGAGGAGGAGGAGGAGGGACTCGGCGGGAGGATGGGCTTGCTCTCAATTTTGCGCAAATTGAAAAGTGCACCAGACCAGGAGGTGAGAATTCTTCTCCTGGGCTTGGATAATGCTGGCAAGACCACTCTTCCAAAGCAGCTTGCATCTGAAGACATCAGCCACATTACACCTACACAGGGATTTCACATCAAAAGTGTACAATCACAAGGTTTTAAACTGAATGTATGGGACATTGGTAGACAGAGAAAAATCAGACCATACTGGAGAAATTATTTTGAAAATACTGGTATTCTCATATATGTAATGGACAGTGCAGACAGAAAAAGATTTGAAGAGACGGGTCAGGAACTAGCTGAATTACTGGAGGAAGAAAAACTAAGTTGTGTGCCAGTGCTCATCTTTGCTAACAAGCAGGATTTGCTCACGGCAGCCCCTGCCTCTGAAATTGCAGAAGGACTAAACCTGCATACCATCCGCGACCGCGTCTGGCAGATCCAGTCCTGCTCAGCTCTCACAGGAGAGGGCGTTCAGGACGGCACGAACTGGGTCTGCAAAAATGTCAATGCAAAGAAGAAATAAAATCTAGCCGAACGGAGAGACGCAGGAGCTGTGGGAGCTGAATTCTGTCCTGAAAAACACTAATTTGCTGCTTTCTGACCAAATGTTTTTCCATCTGCGTACAGCTACAGCTGTTTGAAGGCAGGGAACCACACAGTTTATAAAGAATCCCCGTTCCAGCAGCTTTAACTGATCTCTGAGGCTCAGTATCATTCTTCAAATAAAGGAATTATATTATTTCCTCTGCAAAAAAAAAAAAAAAAAAGAAAGGAAAAGGATCTTTGTGACCTTGAGTTAAGCAAAGATTCCTTAGGACATAAACGCTCAAGCCATAAAGAAAAAATAATTCATAGTTGGTGAGCTTAACCAAAATGTAAAACTTTTGCTCTTTAAGAGAGGTTTAAAAATGAAAAGACAAGTCACACAAACTGTAAGAAAAATACTTGTAAAGTAGATGTTTGTTAACAGACTTGTGGCCAGAATATGTATATATTCTTGCAATTCAGTATTAAGAAGACAAATAACCGAATTAAAAATGGGTAAATAGGGGCGCCTGGGTGGCTCAGTCGTTAAGCGTCTGCCTTCGGCTCAGGTCATGGTCCCAGGGTCCTGGGATCGAGCCCCGCATCGGGCTCCCTGCTCCGCAGGAAGCCTGCTTCTCCCTCTCCCTCTCCCCCTGCTTGTGTTCCCTCTCTCGCGTGTCTCTCTCTCTGTCAAATAAATAAAACCTTTAAAAAAATAAAAATGGGCAAATATTTAATCAGATACTTTATCAGGAATTAAAATAAATGTCATATAGTGACAGATGGTGACCATGCTTACCATGGTGAGCATCAAGTAACGTGTAGAACCATTGAATCAATATGTTGTGTGCCTGAAACTAATACAACATTTTTTTTAAAAACATTTTATTTATTTATTTGACAGGGAGAGAGAGTGAGAGAAGGAACACAAGCAGGGGGAGTGGGAGAGGGAGAAGCAGGCTTCCGGCGGAGCAGGGAGCCCGATGTGGGGCTCGATCCCAGGACCCTGGGACCATGACCTGAGCCGAAGGCAGATGCTTAACGACTGAGCCACCCAGGTGCCCCTTTTGATAAAAAATTTTTAAAAGGCCAGTAGTACGTGGGAAGACACTCAATATCATTAGCTATGAGGAAAATGCAAAATAAAGACACACCAAATAACTAGAGTAGTGATTCCAGAAAGAGGTTCATCCATGTATGGAAATTTGGGGTATGACCTAAGTGGCATGTCATATTGGTGTAACAAAAGATAGAGTGTTCAGGGTGGCATAATCATTTGTTGGGTGAATTTTTATGCCCCGTCCTGTTCTCTGCCACAGGTGAGGAGTACAGAAGAGGAGACCATCATCTTGTCCGGGAGGGGCTCTCAGCAGAGGTGAGAATGAGTGCACGATCCACTGGAAACTGTTCAGGGTCAGTGGGTCCGACTTCATCAACACTCATCATTCCCCTCAGCAGCTGTGGGACCTGTAGGTGGAGAAGAACCGAGAGAGGTCAGGCGAGGGAGGAAGAGGAAGATACGATTTCTCCTGGCCTCCAAACACAGGTCTCCGGCAGTGGAACTCTCCCCTCCTCCTCCGTATCTAGGAATGTTGAGAGGGCATGGGAGTGTTAGTTAGCATGTCTGCACAGCGACTGGGGCTTCAGCTGATTTAACGAGAGATGAGAGAGATGCTGAATGTTCTTGCAATGAACCAGACAGTCCTCCATGGTAAGAAATGTCCCACCAGCAATACCAATCATGCCACGTTGAGAAACATAGGAGGTCCCCACAAGGCAAGTTTGGTGTTGACACGTCCCCTATCACTAGGACAGCCCATGAAAAAGAAGGGTGCTCCGTTGTTTACTTGGGTCCATGCAGAGACGCCTTGCGGCTCTGCCAGGCTTCAGCCAGGACAGCCTCCATAACCAGAAAGAGGGCCGCGAGACCCAGTCGGAGGTGGTTTATCTCAGAGCACGCTCCCTCCTGCTCTGTCAGAAGTCAGAGCCCATTTGTGTGTCCTGGTCAGTGAGCTTACCATCCTGAGTCATCAGGGAGCAGAAGCAGAAGCACCAGGACACAGAATGCACTGTATTTCATTGCCTAGGATGATGGTTTCTTAAAATTCCTAATCAATTAAAAATACATAAATGTACATTGGTGAGGGCCAAGGGAGAAGTCTACACATGCGATGCATCGTGATGAAGAAGAAATAATGCGAGGAGGAGAATGGATGGGGAAAGGGGAAATCTTAAAACCCCCAAAGGCAGAGATTGCTGCTAGTCACAGGTTAGGTTTGTGGGGGAGAAAGTCTCCGTCCTGTATGCCACTCTGTGTGCGAGGGGCTCTTCCAACGTGATTCTTAGCTTGTGCTGGCTCCCAGGGGCTCGGTTCTCCCACCGTGACACTGAGAATGACAGCTCTGTAGAGAGAGTACCTTTGCACACGGGCTTCCTGATGACAGACGGAGTCCCTGGTCCCTGAGCAAGACGGAGTCCCTGACCCAAGGATTTCCCAGATCGAGATGACCGAGATCTTGGCTTCCAGTTTCTGGTTGCCCATGGAAGTCACTACTCCACAGTAACAGTGAGGAAAAGCAGAACAAACTGAAAAGTTTATAACTCTTGTGAGATCTGAATTGGCACCGAGGACACACAGAGCCCTCGGCCCTGCAGCTGGAGAGGCCAACCCCTGAGTCCCAAGAATCAGAGTTTGCTGAGCAAGAACCCACAAGCCGAAACCTCCATGGGGACCAGTGCCGGGTGGGGATGCTTGGCTTGGACAAGTCTGGGAGTTAGGAACTCCGGGGAGCTGGTCATGGGGGCCCGGTCATGGGGTCTGGGAGTTTCACCTCCTGGAGCTCTACCAGGTTCTCCTAGTGAAGAGCCAAGAAAAACCCCCTCCTGTTTCTGGCAGGGAGAGGGGAAAACCCACTTTGAAATACAGCAGAGCACTGTGTTGTTGTTGTTCTTTTTTTTTTTAAAAATGTTTATTGTTATGTTAATCACCATACATTACATCATGAGTTTTGGATGTAGTGTTCCATGATTCATTGTTTGTGCATAACACCCAGTGCTCCACGCAGAACGTGCCCTCTTTAATACCCATCACCAGGCTAACCCATCCCCCACCCCCCTCCCCTCTAGAACCCTCAGTTTGTTTCTCAGAGTCCATCGTCTCTCATGGTTCGTCTCCCCCTCCGACTTACTCCCCTTCATTCTTCCTCTCCTGCTATCTTTTTTTTTTTTTCTTAACATATATTGCATTATTTGTTTCAGAAGTACAGATCTGTGATTCAACAGTCTTGCACAATTCACAGCGCTCACCATAGCATGTACCCTCCCCAGTGTCTATCACCCAGCCACCCCATCTCTCCCACCCCACCCCCACTCCAGCAACCCTCAGTTTGTTTCCTGAGATTAAGAATTCCTCATATAGGGTGCCTGGGTGGCTCAGTCGTTAAGCGTCTGCCTTCGGCTCAGGTCATGATCCCAGGGTCCTGGGATCGAGTCCCACATCGGGCTCCCTGCTCGGCGGGAAGCCTGCTTCTCCGTCTCTCACGCCCCCCCTGCTTGTGTTCCTGCTCTCGCTATCTCTCTCTCTGTCAAATAAATAAATAAAAATCTTTAAAAAAAAAATTCCTCATATAAGTGAGGTTATATGATACATGTCTTTCTCTGATTGACTTATTTCACTCAGCATAACACCTTCCAGTTCCATCCACATCGCTTCAAATGGCAAGATCTCATTCCTTTTGATGGCTACATAATATCCCATTGTGTATATATACCACATCTTCTTTATCAATTCATCTGTCGATGGACATCTTGGCTCTTTCCACAGTTTGGCTATTGTGGACTTTGCTGCTATAAACATCGGGGTGCACATACCGCTTCGGATCCCTACATTTGTATCTTTGTGGTAAATACCCAGTAGTGCAATTGCTGGATCGTATGGTAGCTCTATTTTCAACTTTTTGGGGAATTTCCATCTCCATATTGTTTTCCAGAGTGGTTGCACCAGCTTGCATTCCCACCAACAGAGCACTGTGTTCTTCTTAACAAGGCCAGGGGAAACTAGCTCACCGAGCCTAACCTCCTGGGGTTTTATCAGAGCCTAACTGACCTGGAAGAAGAGAAACACCCAACCCCAGCCAGCTCTGGCCACCCTGTCCCACCATAGCAAGAGGACTGAGAAACCCTGTGAGGGTCACAGCCCAGGGGCACAGGCTCTGTGCAAGTCGGAGTCCCAATCCTAGGAAAGATCCTACCAAATCACTAAAGGCCAGTTTCCAACAGTTCCTTTGCCTGGCGCATCATGGCTGGCCATCAAGAACAAAGGACAGGGTGTACCAAAAGCCAAAAAAAAAAAAAAAACCCCAAGCAAAAACATTTTGAAGAGATACAGATGCAGCAGCAGAACCAGATGCAGGTATAGCAGAAATGCTGGAATGATCATCTCAGGAACTTAACCCACGGTGATTCATATGCTAAGGGCTCTTGCAGGTAGAGTAGACAGCATGCAAGAGCAGATGGGCGACGTGAACAGGGAGGTGGAAATCCTAAGAAAGACTCAAAAAGAAGCTCCAGAGACCAGAAACCCTGTGACAGAAATGAAGAATGCCTTTCGATGGGCTTGTAGGTGGACTGGGTGTGGCTGAGGGAGTAAGCTCGGTGCCTGAGGATGCACCAGCAGAAGCCTCCGAAACCAAGCAGCAAACAGAAACAAGACTGGGAGAACACAGAAGGGAGTGTCCAGGGGCTGTGAACCAGGGCGTAACCCGTGCATCATGGGATCAGCAGGAGGGGAGAGATAGAGAAACAGAAGAAATAGGAGAAATAGCAACTGAGAATTTTCTCCAAATTAATGTCAGACGCAAAACCGCAGATCCAGGAAACAGAACAGCAAGCAGGATAAACATCAGAAATGAAGGAAAAACAACCCCATCTCTATGCATATCTTTTTCAAACTAGAAAGGCAGAGGTTAAGAAAATCCTGAAGGAAGCCAGAGGAGAAAACACCTCAGCTACAGAGGAGCAATAGTAAGAATTATATCTGACTTTCTTGAAACGATGTGGGAAGAGAGTGGAGTGAAATATCAACGTGTTGAGAGAAAAAAACCACCAACCTGACATCCTGGACCCTGAGATACTATCCTTCAAAATGAAGAAGTAAAACGTTCCTCCGACAAACAAAAACTGAGGGAATTTGTTGCCGCTACACCTGCCTTGCACGGAATGTAACCAGAAGTTCTTTAGCGAGAGGGAAGGTGATGCGGATCAGAAACTCGGATCTGCGTGGAAAAAGGCAAAGCAGGGGCGCCTGGGTGGCTCAGTTGGTTAGGCCACTGCCTTCGGCTCAGGTCATGATCCCGGAGTCCTGGGATCGAGTCCCGCATCGGGCTCCCGGCTTGGCGGGGAGCCTGCTTCTCCCTCTGACCCTCTCCCCTCTCATGCTGTTTCTCCCTCTCAAATAAATAAATAAATAAAATCTTAAAAAAAAAAAAGGGCAAAGCATCATAGAAGGAATAAGTGAAGGTAAAAATAAGAAGTTTCATTTTTCCTGTCCTTCAGTCATCTAGCAGGTAACTGTTTGAAACGAGCATAGCAACACTGCATTCGACTGTGTTTGCTTATATTGGTGTATGTGTTTGCGAGTAAGTGAAATGAACACTGCAAGGATACAGGGCATGACAGCAAGAGGTTAGGGTTATTTTATTATAAAATCATCCCAATCTTTACCTGTCACCCACAGTTCTAAGCTGTTGCTGGGCTGTGAGGCCCAGAAAGGAGCCTCGGTTTGGTAGTATACACATCTGTAGCTGCCATGGTCCCTGACTCTTACAGTCCCGAAGGCGAAGTGAGCCACATTCCCTGATGGTCTCCGGGATGTCAGCAGGCTCAGGAATTCCCTGCTTCTGCAGAGCACACGTGATAAATGCAGTCTCGAGGTCTGTCTTCCGGCACTGAAGAGTCACGTTCTCTCCTGGTGTCACCGTAGGCCTCTTCTGATTGAGGAAGTTTGGTTTAGATGAGCTTCCTGGAGGAGAAAGAGGGTCAGAAACAATGGGGAGAAGCTCAGGGTCCCCTGAGGTCTTTCCTGGGAGCATGTGAACCAAGGATTCCAGACACACCTTTGCCCAGCTGTGGGCAGAGTCTTGTCGAGGATCAGAATTTCACTTTCACTAATCCCCAATCAAACCAGTGTCCTCAGACTGCTCCTGCTGTCCTCAGGCCCCTCCGTGGGAGCAGAGACCACTTAATGTCCTCTGAGTCCTTCTTCATCCTCTAAGGCTGGGGGCGGGGGCAGATGGGTTAAGCCAGGCTCTTTCTGGGACACTTCCTTCTCACCTGTAACCACGAGAAGGACATCTCTGGCTGGGGAACACTGGCAGGGGGGCCTCTGTGTGGCAATATTTGCAGGTATATTTCCCCAAGTCTTGCTGACTCAGGCTAACGAGGGGGGACTTCAACCATTCTTCCTGAAGGATCCACGGACACCATGGGCTTTGAGGGTAGCAGGATTCTTCCCTTGCTGAAGGTAAACTCTACATTTGTGACAGGAGTCCAGCATCTTAGGGTCATGTTACTCTCGGCAGGAACCAGAAAGCTGGGTGAGGCTCTGAGGAAAGGCTTGGGGAGCTTCTCCCCGGAGAGAAGTAGAGCCCAGAGCTGGATTTGATGAGCTCAGCAGTTCTCAGGGGGCCCTCTGATGAGATGTCACCTTGCACCTGTCAGAATGGCACTCATCCAGAAAACAAGAGACAACAGGTGTCGTCAAGAAGGAGGAGAACAGGGAACCCTGTGCACTGTTGCTGGGAAAGTAAGTAGGGGCAGCAGCTAAAGTTGGGTGGTTCCTCAGAAAACGAAAAGTAGATCTACCCTTCGATACAGCAACCCCACTTCTGCACATACAGCTGGGCAAAATGAAAACACTGCCTCGTAAAATTACCTGCACCCCCATGTCCTCTGCAGTGTCATTTACAACAGCTAAAACATGTCCAGTGATGAGTGAATGGATAAAGAAAATTTGGTGTGTGTCTATGTATAATGGAATATTATTCACCCACAGAAAGAAGGAAATATTGCCACTTGTGTCAATATGGATGGATCTGGAAGGATTGTGTTAAGTGAGATAAATCAGATGGGGGGAAGACAAATACTGTGTGATGTCATTTATACGTGGAATCTAAAAAGGAAAACAGAACGAAAGAAATCATAGATACGGAGAGCAGGCTGTTGGTTGCCAGAGTGAAATGGGTGAAGTGGGTCAAAAGGCCCAAATCTCCAGTTATAAAGTTAGTCCTGGGGATGCAACATGCAGCATGGGGGCTGTAGTTCGCAAGGCCGTAGTGCTTATCTGAAGGCTGCCGAGAGAGTAGATCGTAAAAAGTTCTCGTTAACCAGAAAAAACAAAAAATTGTTAACTGTGTGGTATGTATGTTGACTACATTTATTGTGATGACCATTTCCCAATATATACAAACTTTGAATCCTGAAACTAATACGATGTTACATGACCATTATATCTAAAAGGAAAACATGGGGGCGCCTGGGTGGCTCAGTCGGTTAAGCGTCTGCCTTCGGCTCAGGTCGTGATCCCAGGGTCCTGGGATCGAGTCCCACGTTGGGCTCCCTGCTCAGCCGGGAGTCTGGTTCTCCCTTTGCCTCTGCCTCCTGCTTGTGCTCTCTCCCTCAAATAAATAAATAAATAAATAATAAATAATAAATAATAAATAAATAATAAATAATAAATAAATAATAAAAAATAAATAAATAAAATAAAAATAAATAAACAAACAAACAAATAAATAAAAATAAATAAATAAAAAACAATAAATAAACAATAATAAATAAATAAATAAATAAAAAATAAAAAATAAAAAATATAAAAAATAAAAAATAAATAAATAAATAAATAATAAAAAAATAAAAAAATAAAAAAGAAAATAGGGGGGGCACCTGGGTGGCTCAGTTGGTTAAGCGACTGACTTCAGCTCAGGTCATGATCCTGGAGTCTCGGGATCGAGTCCCACATTGGGCTCCCTGCTCGGCAGGGAGTCTGCTTCTCCCTCTGACCCTCCTCCCTTCTCATGCTCTCTCTCTAATAAATATAAAATAAAATAAAAATAAAATGGGAAGAAGAAGCCTCTGCCCCTTGACAAGACCCAGAGAAGAAGAATTAGGGCTGCAGAACAAAGGTGAAGAGGGTCTCACCAAGAATCACTCACCGTTGGTACCCCTGCTTCCTTGGCCGGCACACAGCCCTGCAAGAGAACCGTCCATGTGACATGAGCATCCACCTGGAGCCCCGTCCTGAGGGGCCTCCCCGGGGGCTGCTGCTGAGCTCGGACCCTCGAGATCATGCATCTGGGGCTTCTCATTTCCCCACACTGGACTGTGGCTGCAGCTGTGTTGTCGGCTCCTTCCCCACTCTCCCAGAAGGTCTCCTGTGCGGCTCACTCCTCCCACAGCCCCAGGACCTGTCCTGGTTCCACAGATGTCCACAAACCCTTCCATTCACATCCTCTGTCCAAACCACCCTTATTCTTAGCATTTGCTACTAGAATCCATGTTCTCTTTCCTTGATTCCCCATCCCCCAGGGAGCAAGGCAGGACTGTGCAGGAGATTGGTGAGCCTGGGCTGAGTATTGCTGCCGGTTTAAGTCCTGATGATCACCAGACCCTGAGTGGGCCTGGGCCCCCCCCCCCCCCGCCGGACAGTCTCCTCTGTGATAAAAGCATCCCCCATAATGAAGGCTGCTTGGTGCCCTGGGTGGCATGAATTAAGACAAACGATTGGGTCATAAAATCTTCGAGTTTATAAAGTCTGCAGCTCATGCCACGGGAGACGAAGGCAGGGACTCTATGTTCTTCACCTCAGCATGTCCAGTGTCTGCACAGGCCCTGGCACATAGTAGGACCTGAGTGAACTCACACTGACCGGCTGACGAGATGCCTGTCTAAGCGCAGCTCAGATTTTATAAGGATGGTAAAAAATGCAAACTCATAGGGCTGTTTAAGTCATATCTTAATCCTCAAGGACCAGAAAATGACAGGCCTTTCCAGATAGATACTGACTCCATTTACGAACCTGACTGATGCTGGGTCCTCTACTAAATTGTGATATTTTTTTTGGAGATGACCAATGTCCTTTCATCCCGTTGTATTCTTGGCACCATCTAGAAGTCTCCACACGGTAGATGGTCAGTTCATTTGAACAGTGCAAACTTCCAACAACTGCTGTCATTCCTCCCTCCGGCCCCTGGGATGACACTGTCCTCACCCACGTCCATGTGGCTGGATGGTGCAGCGCGCCCTTTTGTGGGAAGGAGCTAGTGAGGACAGCCTCAGCCTTTTGTGCTAAAACATTTCGGAGCCCATCTTTTCCATTATGTATTTTCATTCCTTATTTCTCCAAGCAGGACAGAGCTCACTGCATAGCGCCCTAAAACAGATCTCAGGAACAGACCATGTTTCTCCCCCGTCCTACACAACACTGTCCCACACAACAGCTGTGTTTGTAGCATACTCCAACACTGGCTACGCATTGGGCTCCCCGGGGGACTGTGGAAACTCCCAGCGCAGATGGTGACATCAGCAAGATGGTGGGCTGCAGGGGCCTCAGTGCTCGGGTCCCCCACAAAAACAAGAACAAATTAAAAGCACAGCTGCAAACGGGTGGAAATAGCTCTGGGAAATCTCTGGACTGCAGCGAAGAGGCAGCAGAAATGCTGAGAGCTCAAAAAGCAGGT